CTTAACCCTTGACTTGGTGTTGTCAGCACCAAGCTCAGCCAGTGAGCTAACCGGCCATCCCCATACAGGATCTGAACCCGTGTTCTTGGTGTTATCAGCACCGCACTCTCCCGAGTGAGCCACAGGCTGGCCCAGAAAATAAGGTTTTAGTAGTAATTTATTTTCAAGACATGTAACTTTTATGTATGACATCTATAAAGTTCAGTGTATCAGTTATGTAAATAAGCCCTCGTGAATTTAAATTTATTGCGACCTTCCTTAGGAAGACTGCAATTATAAAAGATGTCCTGACCACAGCTTCCCTCCTGCCTGTGCAATAATTCCAAAAGCCTGACATTTTATTGAACTGGCTCCAAAAGCATCTGGAAGACTACAACTCTCACCAATTACAAACTTGCATTAAAAAGAAAATGGAAACATTTAGAAAATACATACTTGGGGCTTTTTTGTAAGGACAGATTAGCACTTTTCATTGGGAGCCCTTTGAACAGGACACTCTTTGTTATATGCCACTGACTGCGGGGGTGGGGGGGTGGTAGGTGCCCTCCTGCCCTTGTAATACAATGACTAGAAAAAAATTGGTACATAAATTTTTTTGCAGTTTTAGATAAGCTTTATTCCAGTCCAGGAAGAAGGGTCTTTGTTATTTTCCGAAGGGGTATTATGGCATTACTTATCACCTGCTTTTCTCATTTTCCAGCCTGATGCAAAAAGNCTGCCCTTGTAATACAATGACTAGAAAAAAATTGGTACATAAATTTTTTTGCAGTTTTAGAATTTGTTCTAATAAGCTTTATTCCAGTCCAGGAAGAAGGGTCTTTGTTATTTTCCAAAGGGGTATTATGGCATTACTTATCACCTGCTTTTCTCATTTTCCAGCCTGATGCAAAAAGAGCCCGTCATGAGGTCCCCTTGGAAGAAGAGTATAGGTCAGCATTGCAGGCAGCAGCAGGGGCCTTGGAGGCAACTGAGTCATTACTCCAAAAGGCTCCTGCTCCAGCTTGGCTTCTCATGGAAATGGAAGTGCTCCAAGAAAGGATTGATAAGCTAAAACGTTGTATACTCTAGGGTGAAACTTTATTGCTCTGGACCATATTATCAGTAGGCAGAAACGAGCTGGATGCTTTGTCAACCTATAGTATATTTTGTAAATGAAAATACTGATGTAATTATGTTTGTACATTTTCTAACACATATAAAACAGCTTTTGTAAAGTTGAATCTAGTGAAA